ATCTATCTATCTATCTATCTTTAGGTGAAATTAAATCCTAAAATATTAGTTATTTATTCCATGTTACCTGCCTTTTTATACTGCGTAGGTCTAAGCACATTTACTGGCAATTGCAGGTACGTCCTATAACCACAAGAGGGTACTATTGCATTTAACAAATCAGGGGGGAAAAGTTTATATAGGCTTGTCTCAAGATCAGTAGCGTGTGACATTATTAGCCATTAGCTATGTGTTATTTCGCATTTACTGTAACTACTAATTGTATAGACCTCACAATTGTGTCAACACCAAACAAATGTGTAACAAAGGTGTAGCGCTCTATATTTGCATAAAGAAATCTTTAAACAGAGCACAGATGGAGATTTTAATTTGTGAAGGTGTTACGTCGAAGTCGGTCCCCCCTTCGAAAAGTGTCCCTTTGCCCGCGAGGTTCGTGGTTCGCTTATGTTTAGTTTGGGATTTTGGTAAAACAGGGTTTAATTTCAACATCGCAAAACACGACGGATTAAACATAATATATATAAATTAAATTAAATTCGGGCTCATGTTGCGGTAACGTGGCGGGACAGTAACCGGAGGGGGGGGGACACTTTTAGAATAATACCCACAATACAGTTCGGGGGAGCCGTTGAATTCCGGTGTGGTGCACGTCCGATGCTCCCTCTCGTCTCACTGTTGGTTTAGTTTGTCTGTGAACTGTTTGTCTGTAAACTGTGACCGACACTTATCCTCCTAACTGGTTGAGACTCAGTTCTAGTAGTTTCACTGCGGGCGGAGAGAGCAACAAGCCGCAAAGATGCCGCGAATCATGATAAAAGGAGGCGTGTGGCGCAACACTGAGGTACGTGTTTACACGGCTAGCTGCGTTAGCATGATGCTAACCACTACAAGTAAACCTATGAGCATCGAGCTAGCTGCTAACTTAACTTACATGATTTAGCCATAGCGAGCCGTAGCGACTGTGGTTTATTTGTACATGTATTCATCCTGTAGTTCAGTTACTGCTTCAGTTATTAGCGTATTTAGTAAAGGGGGGGGCGTCACTAGCAGGCATTGTTGCAGTTTATAAGACTTTGTAAATGTTAGCAAGTGAGCTAACGATAAGTGATAATAGCAGTATGGAAGTCTGTGAGCAGTGGGGTTGTTTTCATAATGGAACAAAGCTGTTGTTGTTTATAAAGTCTGATTGGATCAAAGACGTGGAGAGATAATGACCGTGTGTCTCTTTCTGATTATAAAGGATGAGATCCTCAAGGCAGCGGTGATGAAATATGGCAAAAACCAGTGGTCTCGTATCGCCTCCCTGCTGCACCGCAAGTCTGCCAAACAGTGTAAAGCCAGATGGTGAGTCTCGATACAAAGACATGTGATGCCAATGAGAGCAATTTAACTGTAAACCTTTTCTAAAACCTTCATTAAGTCTTAAAAGTAAAACTTGAACCGAGTAGAACTTTATATGTAGTCGTAGTCCTACCTTGGCTTTGTGTCTGTTTGCAGGTACGAGTGGTTGGACCCCAGCATCAAGAAAACAGAGTGGTCCAGAGAAGAGGAGGAGAAGCTGCTTCATTTGGCCAAGCTTATGCCCACTCAATGGAGGACCATTGCTCCCATCATAGGCCGCACTGCTGCCCAGTGTCTGGAGCACTATGAATACCTGCTGTACGGTTGAATAGGATATAAAACACATTCATACGCTACATCTGTAGTACATATATACAACTACATTCATAACTATATTTTAGGTTCAAAGCAGACTTTCCCCTTTGACCTTGTTTATAAGATCATTTGCAGTAGTGTCTGCAGATTATTGTACATGCTGTTGGTTTACAGTTAATGTGTATGTGTGTGTGTGTGTGTGTTTAGAGACAAGGCAGCACAGAGAGACAATGAGGAAGAAGTGGGAGATGACCCCAGGAAGTTAAAACCAGGGGAGATTGACCCCAATCCTGAAACTAAACCTGCCAGACCCGACCCTGTGGACATGGACGAAGGTACGTCAACACACTTAAGACAATGATGAAGAGGCTGACTTCTTGAACTGTAACCATACCAAAGGGACACAATGTACCCCGGTCCTTAGAATATCGACTTATGTTCTCTCACAGTTGTCTTTTACATTTCTAGTAGTGACTGTCAAAGTCTTATGTAAGCAAACCAGGCTGCAGTCATCCTCTGGAAGGTCTTTTCAGATAAACCAAATCCAAGTTCTTCTCCGTGTTTGCGACTGTAGGAGAGAGCCGTTTAAACGTAATGATACACTGTGTGTCTGTCTCACTGTCTGTAGATGAGTTGGAGATGCTGTCAGAGGCCAGGGCTCGACTGGCCAATACCCAGGGCAAGAAAGCGAAGAGGAAGGCCAGAGAGAAACAGCTGGAGGAAGCCAGGTTAAATACACACAGTCTGAAATGTAAAATCATTATTTTCATGCCTGATGTTCGTAGCTGGAACTACAGGGATGGAAAAGCCTACAAAGTCCAAAAACTAGGCATCATTGAGTGTCCCCCTCTTTGTGCTGCAGACGGTTGGCTGCTCTGCAGAAGCGCAGAGAGCTGAGAGCGGCAGGAATCGATGTTCAGAAGAAGAGGAAGAAGAAGAGAGGAGTAGACTACAATGCTGAAATCCCCTTCCAAAAGAAACCTGCACCGGTAACCACAATCAGCTGTTTGCATTCACTGAGCACAACACCAGGACAGAACAGCATTTGGGCTTGATGTAGTACCTGTTTATTCATTGTTTAACTTTGTTTACTTTAAGGGTTTCTATGACACCAGCATGGAGCAGTACGTCGCTTTGGAGCCAAACTTCAAACGACTCAGACAGCAGCACCTGGATGGAGAACTGCGCAAGTCAGTCATTTTATACACACATACATTTAGGAAAACGTAACACACACAAGAGGCTTATAGTATACTAGTACAGTTAATAGAAAACAAACATATACATTACCAGTAAATAACACTGTCGAGTTTAACTTCATATACACAAATACGACGTTAAAGGTTAAACAGAAACACTCATGATTGATGCACATCGTAAGGACACACAAACCAATGAACTTATGGCCTTCTTTCATAAACTATTTTGTGTGTGTGTTTGTTGGTAGTGAGCAAGAGGAGAGGGAGAGGAAGAAAGATAAACAGAAAATCAAGAAGAAGAAGGAGAGCGACCTCCCATCTGCCATCCTGCAGACCAGTGGAGTGGCTGAGTTCACCAAGAAACGCTCCAAACTGGTTCTACCTACACCACAGGTAACCACTGCAACACCTGTACTACTGTAATATTTTTAAGTAACGCCTTTTACCGATTACTCTATTTATTTATTTATTTATTTATTTATATGTATTTAATTTAACTTCCTTCATAGATCAGCGACGCTGAGCTCGAGGAAGTCGTCAAATTGGGCGTCGCTAGCGAGGTCGCCCGTCAAGCTGCAGAGGAGAGCGAAAGCGGTAACTCTGCCTCCTCCGCCCTCTTGTCAGAGTACAGCGTCACCAACACCATGGCAACGGGGCTGCGTACGCCACGCACCCCCACTGTCCAGGACAGGATCCTGCAGGTAACAAACGGAGTGGATAACACACACTGAACATTTGAGTGAGAGTAAGTCTAAAATGCCACACTGACTGGTCCGACAACCAGCAACCAGTGTTTTATTGATTCAGTGATGGTTTATGTGAATTAGTTTATGAACGTTTGGCTAAACTAACTATTAAAAGTAACTAATACCTACAACTTGAGCTAGACCAATGTGTGTACAGCTCATACCGACTTATTACAGACAGAACCGTATGTGTGTGTGAATGCAAGTTTCCAGCATATACTCTAAAAGATTGCTCTGTCAATTCTTTTATAACTGAATTTAGAGATTCTCACTAAAAATGGGTGTTTTATGTCTTTTGACCGATTCTGTATAGTATATAATAGGAATATAAAATGCCTGCAATATTTTCTTACTCACTGATATAAACATCAGCACAAGCAGATATCCTTTGTTATGACACATCTTTGGATGTTTAACTTTGTGTGTGAAATATTTACTACCTGTGTCCGTCTGTATTTCCAGGAAGCCCAGAACCTGATGGCTCTGACCAACATCGACACCCCTCTGAAGGGAGGCCTCAACACTCCGCTGCACGAGAGCGACTTCAGCGGCGTGACACCTCAGCGCCAGCAAATACAAACACCCAACACTGTTCTCAGCACGCCATTCAGGTAATGATTCTGTCACAGCTACACTGATTTAAAGCCCGCTTCACATTGTGCGTGTGTGTGGTGGGAACACACCTGTGAACACTGTGCCTTTAAATGACAAAGCAGCTGGTACTGTAAATGTTAACATTGATGGTCATCTCATCCTTAACAGGACCCCTGGACAAGGTCAGGGGTCAGAGGGCATGACTCCACAAGCAGGAGGAGTGATGACCCCACGCGGGCCAGTTACTCCAGGGTTGACCCCCGGCCGCACGCCGCTGAGAGACAAACTGAATATTAACAGCGAGGAGCAATTGGCTGACCCTGCATACGCCAAACATATGGTAAACACTCATTCCACCTATGTTATACTGTAAATGCACAACTCTCACATCAATTCAAACACTAATAATTACGTTGTATTTACTCAATATAAATATAAAACTAAACTAGGTCAAATAAAATGTCAACAAAATTAAGACTAGTAAGGTTACCTATAATTAAAATAAGAAAATGAATTAACTTCTCTCTCTCCCCCCCCCCCCGGTCCATACACAGCAAAGAGAGAAAGCCTGCAGCAGCTGAGGCAGGGCCTGATGTCACTCCTGTCCCCAAGAACGACTTTGAGATTGTTCTTCCGGAAAACGCAGGAGAAGGAACTTGGAAGACAAACTGAGACAGGATTCGTAGAGGATTCTGCAGACGTGGAAGCACGCAAGCAGGTATATGTACACAGTAACACTTTAGAGTTTCAGTGAGGGCATAACATGAAATTAAGATTTAATATGTGTGTTTGTGTGTGTGTGTGTGTGTGTGTGCGTGTCAGGCTATACGGGAGGCAGAGCGAGAGAAGGAGCTGAAGCTGCGACACACTTCTGTTCAGAGGAGTCTCCCCAGACCCACCGAGGTAACAAACTAACTAAGTTGCTGAGAGTTCGATCACGTTGACACCGTTAACACCACTGACCCTCTGATAAAAATCAGTGTGTACATCAGCCCCTTTCAAATTCCTGTGCAGCCAAAGAATCCTTTCTGGCAGCTTTAAAACCAATCTTACTTAGAAATGTAAGGACACCCTGTCTTAGACTGACCTGGCGGTTATCAACATTACTGCTTTTATGCGTATTAGCCTGATGATACCAGCGTGTTGCCGACCGTCTCTGCAGGTGAACGAGTCGGTCCTCCGTCCCACCTCCATGGATCCGCTCTCTGACCTCCAGCTGGCCGAGGAGCTGATCAAACAGGAGATGATCACCATGCTGCACTTCGACTGCCTGCACCACCCCTCAGCCAACGCAGCCAATCAACTGCAGCGCGGCAAAACCAGAGGCCCCACCTCTACATCAAACAACGCGTCACACATAGCGTACCTGGAAACACACTCCTACAAGCCAGTCAGCACAGACGAGATGGAGCAGGTAACACACGTCTTCAAAAGTGTTGTTTTCTCCTCAGAAGTTGTTCAAACAATGAATTGATGCACGTGTGTGTGAGTGACACACTGTTGCAGTATAACCTGTATGCAGATGTACTGTGTATATAGAAGTGGTTATTAATAACTTGTGTGACTTGTGTGAACAGGCAAAGGCGGTACTGGCAGGAGAAATGGAGGTGGTGAAGGCCGGAATGGGCCACGGTGACCTCAGTATGGAGGCCTACAGCCAGGTGTGGGAGGAATGCTACGGACAGGTAAGCATCCTTTTCCAAAATAAAAAATCAAAGAGGATCATAGGAGAGAGAAAGAGAGCCCTTTTTCTTCTTTCACCCTCACATGAAATCAACGGTTGGTCAATAGCTGTTTATTCATCTGGTCTGCTTCTCTCTTTCTGCAGGTTTTATATCTACCCTCTCAGAACAGGTACACCAGAGCTAACCTGGCCTCAAAGAAAGACCGCATTGAAAGTCTGGAGAAGAAACTAGATGTGAGAATGCGCACTTATTTTTCACACAGCTTCATATTTATAAAGTGGTTCATAAGAGCTTTGGTCTGAACATTGACGTCTCCCTCCCTCCAGGTAAACCGCGGCCACATGACAGCAGAGGCCCGGAAAGCAGCTAAACTGGAGAAGAAACTCAAAATCCTCCTGGGAGGGTTTCAGTCCAGAGCCCTGGGGCTCCTGAAGCAGCACAATGAACTCTGGGAACAGGTACTGAACGTCTGCCAGGATTTACTTCTACTTCTGCAACTTTAACAAAAACCATCACCTCCTTATTTGTTATTCTTAGTGCAGTGGAGTGCACAGCCATATTTAATCAGAAGGGATTTGTTGCAGTGTCTTTTTCTGCACTGACATTCATGGCTTATTTCATTTGTGTG